TTTCCTTGATTTTTCTATCAGTCCTTTGAAGGCACCTAATTATTATTATTTTGAATTCTTTTTCAGTTAGTTCTATTACCTTTTCTTCCTCAGAAACATTTTCTGTATCACCATCTTGGTCATTTGTTTGAAATACTGTCTTTGTTTATTTGTGTGAGTTAAAATACTCTTCTGTTTCCAGGGCATTGTGGGATTGTTGTGTTTGTAAAAACAAACAGTGCAGACCAATCCAGAATCGCTAGAAGGGCAGAAGATACTTTTTGAAATAAAGACTAGCATAAAAAAGCAAACTGGTTGGCTGTTAGATTATCAAGCAAGCTGTTTGCTTTGGAGCAATCAAGCTCTTCTAAGACTGAAACTCAAAGGAAAATCAAGAGCAGCCTAGAATGCTTGCTGATGACTGTCCTGGTCTACCTGTGAGTGGAAGTGGAGGAAATGCAGCAATAAAGACACTGACTGAGTTTGGCCATGTTCCAATGACACCCGTTGACCTTGAGATGAGAGAGAGAAGAGGAAAGGTTGGCTGGTCTGAAGTTTAGGAAGATGTGTGAACTCCTGAGCCCATGGATATTGACCTAACCACTGGGGGCTAGAGATGAGAGGGAAGTGGCCAGCTGGTCTGAAGCGTGGGGAGGCATATGAGAACTCCCAAACTTGTAGATAATACCTATTTGACCTAGCTTATATACCTAGCTGACCAAAACCTGACCAGATGAAGATAAAGAATCTTGATACTGTGAGCAAGCACAAATTCCTACAATTTGATGAACTGGACCTTTGTTTATGGATGCAGTTGCTCAAAATTCCAACCAAAATGGAAGAATTCTTCATATCAAGGATCAAGTTTGTTTCCTTAGTATACTAGGGTGATAGGGATAGGCAACGTAGACATTGGCTATCAAAAATTAAGGCACAAAGTGAATGCCTACAAGCTTTCATGAGTATGCTTAGTTTCAGAATAAGGTGGGAGATAAGGTAGAATCCCTATTGAATAAATTTTCTTTCCCAGGTGGATCTGGTGAAAGGAGATGATGGTGATAGTATTTTATGATTCAATTGTAATTTTTATCAGGATTAATAGTGATTGTCACAACTGTAAATGTAGAAGATGTATAACTAAAAGAGGGGAGTAGTTTATCCGTCATTTCAGAAATAGAAGGCCCTAGGACCGTCAAGAAGGAAGAGCATGAGTGGATCATGATAGCCTACTCAGAAAAACAGCGACAGTGGCAGAGGTTATGACAAAGACAGATAGAGTAGCTGAGGGCTCTAGGCCCATGGACTGAGAAAGGCTATATGCCTGCAGGCAGGAGGCTGCCTTGAAATATGTGCCCTTTGGACATTTAAATGAATATATATATATATATTTATCTGTGTACATCAAATACTTTTTGCTTTGTTCATTTGGGAAAAATAAGGTATAAAAGGGAAGCCATATGGTGGAAGCATGGTAACTGTTTTTTCAGGTAGTAGAGTGTAATCAATGAGATGAAACAATATGTATGATTAGTTGAAAGTTAAAAAAGAAAAAGATAACAATCCATGATGGCAACAGATGTGGGAGAGAGAAAATTATTCATGGGCTGGAAGGTAGACACATGTCACATGGGTGACAGGGAAAGCAACATACAACAAGAAAGAGGAAAGATGAAGGTAGTGGAAGACACAGGGGAATGTAAAATTAAGGTGAATAGAGAGAAATATTGTTAAATGTTGGTACATGGAAAGGATTGCAATCATTATAATGAAGCAAAGTATAAGATTTGTTCAAAGTAAAACTGATGATCTGTTCTGTAAACCTTCACTCAAGTCCCAATGTTGTTGTTGTTGTTAAGTGCCATCGAGTCGGTTCCGACCCATAGCGACCCTGTACAGGGTTTCCAAGGGTGTAAATCTTTACGGGAGTAGAA